CGCAAACCATTCCCAGTTCCAATGCAACCAAATACGTCATCTCCCGTTCCACCTGTTCCACGAACCACGTCGGCCAAAGTGTCACCTGAGAATACTCAGAATGATGACACTCCACATGGTATGAAGAAAGCTGCCGAACTTGCTCATGATCCTATTACCGAATACCCCAGTTCCGACGAAGATCAGGAAACAGAGGAACAAGACACCAAGCTCCCAGCGGAAGCGAACCAACCCTCCACTTAACGCCTTTTACAACCTCACATATACCACGTTGACTTCAAAATTGCCAAACCTAAACCCTAAATATAAGCCACATGATTCATTCGATTCTATTCACCATAATCCTGTATTAGTAAACGAGTTAAATAGTACTGGAAACGGAGACGACCCAGAGGGCATATGAATCTTACCTTTTATCCGCTTTGCTGGCTGGTACCGCAACTTTGAAAAATGGGTTAAGCCGATAGAAATGTATTGTTCCTCTGATGTCAGTTCAGAAGATCCGCTCTTCAAAGATACACTGTAGATCTCTTGACGAAAACGAAAACGTAGGAAGGCGATGGTCCGGGTCACAAACAACAGGCAAACCAACCAAGCCCTGAAGCTCTACTATTACATGACATTGTAGTAACTGCAATCAATATCTCCTTACCATGCCCCCTCCATCTCCATCTCAGTCGACGTCTCACTCTACAACGAGCTCTGTAGCATCTCAAAAGACAGGCTTCAAGTTCCGAGCTCATGATTTTGTCAGTCACCAGCAAGCGGCTGCTTCTGGTCGGTCTACTACTGGTAGTAGTACTGGCACCGGTAGCCAAGACGTTACTAGTAGTAAGACTACGATTCCAGCACCAAGTCCCTCTCAGGAAGAACAAGAAGATCAGGAGTTTTTTGAAGGTTCCTACGAGATGCGTCAGTTTTTGGGCAAGGGACGTCAGGGAGCCCAAGTCTTTGCCTGTCATCATCGAGACTCGGGAGAACTGCGAGCCGTCAAAGTCTGGCGCAAATCCAGACGCCAAACCAGAAATCGCTTTTCTACTACTACTTCTCCCTATCTTGATTTGGAGGAGATCCATTTGGACAACAATAGCAATAGCAATAGCAATAGTAGCAAGCCTCCCTTTAATCCGGAACTGACGGA